GAAAAGCAACTATGCATCTTTTTAGATTTCAGACACATTTAATATCTTTTCAACTTTTTAGATCTGAATTTTCAAATTTATCAAACGCCACCTAAATTGATGACGGGACAAACACAAGATAATAAAAAGAAAAAAAAGCTTTGTTTGGCTTTAATGCTTGAAGTAGTTAAAAGAAGTCAGTGACCCATAAAACCTAAACATTCGACTCTCTCTAGCTCTCTCTCCCTCTCTCTCTCTCTCTCTCTCTCTCCACTATTGTTGCAAGTTGCAGCAGTGGCTCTCGCTCCCCTCTCTTCTCTCTCTCTCTCTCTCTTTGCCGTGTATTCCCGCCACCGCCGCTGTAGCGGCTCTCTCTCTCCCCTGTCTTCTCTCGCTCTCGCTTCCTCTCTCTCTCTCTCTCCTGTCTTCCCACCACCACCATCACCACCACCGCTATGTTCTCTCTCTCCCCTAGCAGCAACTCTCTCTCTCCCCCTGTCTTCCCTTCTCTCCCTCCCCCTCTCTCTCCCCCCCTTTCTCTCTCTCCCTCTCTCTCTCTCTCTCCCTCCCCCGTCTTTCCACCACTGCCACCGTCGTTGCAACAAGCAGTAGTGGTGGTTCGATACTTCGGTGAATAATAATAATGTTTTTATTAATTAATAATTATAAATTATTTTAATATTTTTTATTAAACATTAATTATTTTTTATTAAATTTACTTGTGTTATTTATTAATTATTAATTATTTTTATTAACTAGTAATTTTTAATTATTTCAATAATTTTTAAAAATTATTTTAATTTTAATTTTTGTAATTTATTAATTATTTTAATATTTTTATAATCATTAATTATTTTTTTTTAATTTTAATCATTTCATTTATTAATTAGTAATTATTAATTTATTATTTTTTATTTGTATTGTTTCAATATTATTTTGAGGTTGAAAATTATTATTTATGAGATAATGTAAATTGAATTCAACATTTCCAAATTATATATTTTAGGGGTAAAATAGTAAAATCAATAAATTTTAGATGGTAAAGGGTTGATCAACACAAACAAACTTATGGATTCAGATTCTTTAAAAAAGTAGAAAAGCAACTATGCATCTTTTCAGATTTCAAACACATTTAATATCTTTTTAACTTTTCAGATTTATCAAATGCCACCTATGTTCTTTTTCTAAAAGCCCACTTCGAAAATTGACTACTTTTAGAAGCCCCTTTAGACAAAAAATAATCCCAAGACTCTAGAATTTTTTTGTGACACCTTTCTCATAAAATATCCTCAGTCTACACTTCAAATAATTCAAACAGGATTCTAAGATAACTATTAGAAAATGGGTTCAACTATGATGCCGAAAGGTATGATAATAGAAAAGCTTAGAATCAATCAATTGACATCAATTAGAGTGATTTTCACCAAAATTTATCGAGTATTTATTGAATATAATGATGAATTCTAGATTTCCCACGCATAAGAACTCTACCCACACCTACCCACAAACCATTATAGTCGTGAATTGGGATCATCTCCCTATGCATAATAACATGAAAGCACAGAAAATGTTCCTCGTGTGGATAAATTTGTCTTATGCGCGCTTAGTGAGAGCAGATCCGGACTCGTCTCGGCAGGCTGCAGGCTTTCTAACGTAGGCCCAACATGGATAATCCGGAGAGCTCTCCCAAACGGACCCTTATATCATAACGTTAACGCATGCCACACTTCACAGTTCACACACAAAAGAAACGAAAAAAAATGTTGATGGTTGTAGCAAAGATGATATCAATTTTCGTCAGCTTTTCGATCTTCAGATGGAAAGTTACACAATTTGCTTCTTCTGAGAAGCAGTTTTGTTCGATTTTCCCCATTTATCGTATTTGGAATGGATAGATAACTTCCCAAGTTTTTGTTACAAGAATGTCCCAATAATTTGAATTTTGAAGAGGTAACAAAAGACCAACCCTTTCTCTGTAAATCCTTCTCTCTATTATTTGCGACTGTTTCCTTTTCTTAATTGTTGTTACTAAAGAGTTGAAGCAAAAGTGCATAACCTACTCCTTGATTTCCGAAATGTGGGATTCATGTTCTTGGGAATTTTTGATTCCACATGTTCTTGGGATGCTGTCGTATATTTTACCATTTTGTTTCGATTTTCATGAACTACAACTATGAGAATCTCTCTCTGTTCTGGATGCTTTCTGGAATTTTTGGGATTTATTTTCTTCTTTTTTTTTAATTAATTTGGGGTGGGGGATCCCTTGTTCCTTTGTACAGGTTATGGAGACATTCATGCGGTGAACACCAGGGAGATGATTTTTATTATGGTCTATATATCCTTTGATATGGTGTTAGGGGCCTACTTGATTGGTAACATGACAGCTCTGACTGTCAAGGGATCCAATACAGAGAGGTTCCGGGACAAAATGACAGATCTCCTTAGATACATGAATAGGAACAAGCTGGACAAGGATATCAGATCACAAATAAAAAGCCACTTGAGGTTGCGGTATGAGAGCACCTACACTAAAGCTAGTGTTCTTGAAGACATTCCTGTAGCCCTCCGATCGAAGGTAGTAACTTCACTCTTCGAACATAGTTTACCCCGTAATTTGCATGTTCATATACAATTGAATCATGTTTATAACCTAAGTTGATTCAAATGCATGTTAAGCTTTCTGCAAGTTTGTGTAAGTTGTTAGTCCCTGTTTGTGCAAGCTATACATTAATAGGCAGCTCATGGCGTCTTCTATGCCTATGCTCAAAATGGGTGTTTCCTATGTAGGAACTTGAGTGATCTAGAAAAGATTTCTGTAGGTGTGAAAGTTATTGAAAATTGACAAACAATAAAGAAAAATGAGAAGCAGAGAGGAGAATGAGATTGCTGAAAAGTATAAAGTCTCAAAGATAAAGATCTGGGCAACATTATACATTAGTAGACACCATAGGTAGTCCAAAATAATGGAACAAATGCCCAATTCCCACATTACTCAATTCCCTAATCCCTATCAATCAAATCCAATTACATATGTTTTCCTTCTTTTATTTGTAAACTAGCTGACTTAATTCCCAGTGTAACTCAAACATCAATCAAGATGGTCCAACTTAACAAATGACAAAATATCATTATATAACCTTTTGAACTCCTTAATTGTTCAAAACCATATCAAAAGGAATAACTGTAGTTCTTGGATGGTGGTTCCAAGAGTGGCTAGATGGATTCTATAGTTGGTTTGGGCTGTGTCAGTGGTTGTGTTTGCTGCCATCTAGTTGCATCTATAATTGATTGGTGCTTGAAATGTTTCAAAAGTTTTTGATTCCATGTTGATTCTGTGACAACTTAAATTGTTGACTTTGTTTTTCAAATCATTTAGCCACCTCACAATTTGCAAACACAAGTCATCTTGCTATCATTTTGTAAATCTCCCACAGTCATTTCCACCTCATTGTGTAGCCATACTGCCACAATGGTAAACAACCTCATGCTGCAAAACAGAAGGTGCTATACCAATTTATGTAGCCTAGGGTAGCTATAGGTAAACAGATAAATAACGTAAGCTAAACTGAAAGGTTTTGGAGAGGGTGATTATGGTTATAGGGGAGAGGGAAAGAATGAAAATGGTTCATTCCAGATGGGATATAAGGTAAAAGAAAGATAGGATAGAAGAAATAGAGGTCAGCTTTTAGGATTAGGGTGGTTTGGCCTAAGCAAAGGAAGAAAATTTGGGTGACAAGGTTCATCTAAAGGAAAAAACAGAGAAAAGGGAAGACTCTTCAGTGGAAATGTCAATCTCTAACAAATAGGAAAATTTGGGTAAAAATGTTCTTTTTATCTTTTTTTGTGGCAAGTGGTACCCTCAGGTCGACTTAAAGACTTTGTTCCTTACCTCATTCTTCTCTACTTCTAAGAAAAGGGGTAAGGTGCTATAAAGATTTACAAGATCTGCCTCTTTTCGATGTGTTTGGGAGGAGCAGAATGCAAGACTCTTCAAGGATAAGGAAAGAGCAGTTGAAGAAACCATTGAAAATGTTTTTGATGGAGGATGATTTGGCCGGCCAACCACGAAGAGACACATGGCAAGCCTGAACTGTCAGGTGACACCTCGGTACCACATGGAGTAGGTTGGCTAGATCCGAGATGTTCCAAACCTACTTGCCCGGCTTAGACCTTGACCTGGAGAGGACAACAGATCGCTCCTTGATAGGGTAGCACACACCACCTTGAGAGAGCTAGCTGAGGGCCTTGGAAACTGACTTGATTCCAACTTGGGCTAGTCAAGGACTTGATTAGTCAGCTATCTAGAATACCGAACTACCGACCTATGTGGCGGGTCACCCTTATCCGGGGTAATGTGACCTACGTTTTCGAGTTAGGCGGCGACATGTTACCTACTTGGCGTGGACAACCCCATCTCCCGCACGATTCAAAGAGACTGGACCCAAAGATAGCAGACTGATAAGGCTCGATATGCATGGATATTCCAGACATGGAACTCGGACCCTTTCGCCTATAAAAGGACCTCAACACTCCTTCACAAGGTACGTGCAATTAAGTGCAAGTTATCTCTCTTCTAGCTCTTAATACTCTCTTGCTCTCTTGCATACTTCAGCTCGACTAACTTAAGCATCAGAGTGCTCTCCCTAGGTCTAAACCCCCAGACACTCTGATCCTATCCATCTTGCAGACCGATTCGTTGACCTCAGAACTCGTTGTCTGAGTTGCCCTCCAATAGGGAAGCAGGCAATTTCGAGCAGCATCAGTTTCCATTAAAGTGGCAAATTGGGTGAAAATAATGGACCTTTTCTCATGTTTCATTGTGGTTGATATTATTAGAAACTAGAGACAGGTGGCAAGCTTGTCCCCAAGCAACACAAAACCGTTATCCTATTGGACCCTTCCTCAACAGGGTCTAATAGATAGGGGTGTCAACGGTATTCAAAAATCCGATTTCAAATTCAAGATTCGACATAATTGAATCTAATTCGGATAATTTGAATATCTAATCAATTGAATTTGGATATCCTATTCATATCGAATAGCTAATCGGATTCGAATTTGGATATGATCTTATTTGATTTGATAAATATCCGAATTCGACTGATTATTTAATTCTTATATATAACATTTAAAATATTTAAATGTTTTATACAATTTATATATAAAATAATTTATATATTTATATACTTTATGTAAATAAAATATTTATTAATTACCTAAAATAATTAATTGATTGAATTCGAATCAAATAGAATATACAAATATTTAATCGGATTCGAATTTGAATATTAATTTTCAATACCTGTCGGATATCGAATCGAATTCAGATATTGGATTTTCTAATCGGATTTGAATTCGGATATTGTCTGATTCGATTCGAATTCGATTTGTTTACACTCCTACTAATAAATCTAAGTTTTGATGTCCATAGATCAGGTAATCTAGGACTATCAGGAAGAGGTAGATCATTCAAGAATGAAGCTGGACAATCTTAGGATTATTCTTTGGACATATATGGATCGGAGAGGGACCATTACTTGGTATAATGGTAATATCTTGGGATGACAAGCGTCAGAACATTGGTTTGAGTCTAAGAGCAGTCATTTGTGCAAAAAAAAAAAAAAAAGATGCCAAATGTTGGATCTAGTTCACCACTCCCACCCCAAATAGATGGGACCAATATTGGATAATGATCCATAGGGGTTTGAGATTCAGCTTGGGTAGAAGTGGGCAGTTCTTATAAGTTTAAGAAGGGCAAGAACTCTCAACATGAGAAACTTGGAATTTGAAGGTGTCTCACAAGTTCTAGCAGGATGGCTGAATGACAATAAAGATGCTTTTTGGAAATATTGTTATGTCTTGAGAGAACTACAAAGACTAATAGGTGAGCTAAAGGTTAAGGTTAGATGGATAGAATGGGAAGCTATTGGTTGGAAGGTTGATTGGAAAAGCAAGGGGCATCAAGGGATCAAATTTAAATGTAATTAGGGACCTCCAAAAAATTCGAGGAGCCTTTGGAGTAAGATACTCTCATACTGTTAATGTAACCAAAGTTTTCTCTCAGTTGAAACTTAGATTGGTTGGGATTGGGCCAACAAAGAATTATAAGAAGGTATAGTAGAAGAATGGGCAGTAAGACTATTATGCCAATAGATGAAGCTATTGATAACGAGAAGTCGTAGGGTGCTTCTAACCCGGGTAAATAACTGGTGACTGGTCTATGTAAAATAGCATCTGAAAAGGATTCCATTTCTATTGTAAGTGATCCTGCTAAAAGTCTTGAAAGGAAGGAGGAGAAAACCAGAAGCACTTCTGTTAAGGTAGCGGATAAAAAGGATGGAGATTGGTAAAAGCCTGGGTTTGTTTTTCTGGGGTGGTGAGGAATTTGCTAGGAAAGATTTGAAGAGTTTGAAAGGAAGAAGAAAGAAGAAAGATCGAGAAAAGGGGCAATTGGAGGAGGGAGATGGGATGAAGATAGTGGTGACTAAGAGGAGGTGTTTACAGGGGATAAGGTCCCTTCTTCAGCTAGGCTTGTCGTGTTCGCATTGCAGCTGGCCTTTTGTGAAGTTGGCATAGGATTTGGTTCTAGAGGAGTTAGTTTCTTTACTTTTATTAGAGTATTTTTGTTGGATTTTATTAGAGTATTTTTGTTATATTTTATCAGAGTATTTGTTGGTTGTTAATTAATGTAAAAGTGTCTAAGCTAGTCTTCTCTTTTCTCAGGTGATATCTTATCACCTTCCTCTTCCTTTTGTATTCTCTTTTATTTTAATGAAATTTTCATTTTATTCTTCAAAAAAAGGGATCAAATTTATTGGGGACAAGTCGTTTAAGGGGGGCAGAATTTGTAACTTGTGAGGTGGTCAGCCGAGGGTAACTATCCAAAATGGGGACATTTCATAATGATGTGTTTTAAAAGAAAATATAATCAAACATTTGGTATTTCCACCTTTAAGGACCTTTACCCATCTTTGTATTCCCTCTCCCTTTTTAAAAGCGAACCCATTCAAAGATTAGTTTCTTTCTCCTAGTACTTTAGCTTTAGTTGGAATTTGGGTTTCAAAAGAGATCCAAGAAAAAGTAAATCAGTCCTCTAAAACTGATACAAACTTGATTAAAAATAGAGAAAAAAGTAGAAAGGTAGAAGACAGATGAACAAAAGAAGAAGATGGAGAAAAAAAGAGGAGGAAGAAGAAGAGTCCGATAATCTCCTCTCTCTCCTCACTAGTCCTTTTGTTAATCTTCATTTTCTAAGTTAATTACAAGTACGCCCTTAAGTGGGTGGCCAGCTAAGCAAGAACTTAAAATAAACTTGTAAAAAGAAGTAACGGGCCCATAAAGACAGGCTTGTTAACAAACAAATAAATAACACACTACATAAATAAAAGAATAGTTACTAGGGCTCATTCAGCCCAGTCTCTCTACACTCCCCCTCAAACTGAGCATAGATGTCAGTCATGCCTAGCTTGCTTATATAGTGTGTCAGCTACCCTCTTGGAACACCCTTGGTCAAAAAATCAGCCAGCTGCTCTTTTGAAGAGATAAATGGCAAGCAAACTTCCCTTGAAGCAAATC